ACAAACCGCTATCTACACGCACTCTCACACCACCACCCAGCACAGATCAATTCCGTAGCCGAGACACTCATCTCCAGAACAAAATGCTTAGCCGACGAACAACACCTAGAGACCGAACTACACACTCTCACCGGCGTGCTGACAGCCAATGGATTCCATATAAATATACATACGTACATACATACCCTGTGGTGGCTTAGTAATAAAGATCTTGAAATCCATCATTGGAAAATTGGAATCCAATGCAAATAAGAATAGCAAAAATATGCCTATCATCAAAAGAGAAGCAAAGAAGAGATCATGGGCTGTTTTTAATTGCTCTTTTAACCAGATCATGCCTGATAAAAATGCCAGTGTCTGACATAACAATGCAATGCAGATCTTGCGAATCAACAGAATATGGGGCCAGCAAGCGTCCAGCTCTTTTCTGAGCAGCATCGCAGGGAAACTCCACAGGCACCCCCTCCCAAGAGCTACAAATGGGGCCTTCATTTAGGGAGTCCCCAAACTGTAATGATATCTGGGAATGATCTTGAGAAGATTGGGGGAAGAGATGCTACCTAGTGAATGATCAGATGGCAGGGGGGACTTAAAGTTCAAGTCCAAGTTCAAATCTTCATTGTCAGAGTACAACATGTGTACAATGAGATTGGTTGAGCCTCCCTTCGTGCACCACCATCCCAAACACAATACAACTCTCAGTCCCTAACCCACTGAATCCTACTAACAACACACAATCCAATTGCACCATGTGAACTTATTGCTCTTCACGCTGGCCCTGCAAGTCAATTGTACTATGTTCTAAGGTTATTTTCCATTCAGGAGTCTGATAGCCCATGGATAGAAACTATTCTTCAGCCTGTTTGTGCAGATGCCTATGCTTCTATATCTCCTTCTCGATGATTAGGAGAATAAAGAAGCGCTGACCAGGGTGAGAATCGTTACTGAGGATTTGCCTCACTCTTCTAAGGCAGCGAGTCCTAGCGATGTCATCTAGTAGTGGTATTAGGGAACAGCCATGATGCTACATAAACTGGCAGAGAAAAATCTCAGAAAGGAAGCTGTCTAGTTTATCAGGCTGCAAAAAGAGAAAGCGGAAGATTTGTACTTTCAGACTTGCAAGATTTTGTTAATGTAGCCTTACAACAAAGTAGAATAAGCTCATCGGGTCATATTTTCTGTTGGTTTACCTGGAAAGGCTGGAGGGCCTTCTTCCCAAGGTTTTCTTTTTCAACTTTTCAAATTGCAAATGTAACTTTGTGAAAAAAATTGACATGAATTTACTGATGAAAAAGATACTCTTACACAACTGACATCCTGCTTAAGCAATAGGATAACATATGAAAGCAGTGTGTTGTAACCAGCAATTTTTGTGCTGAAAGAATTATTGATTATGAAGATAAGATTTTTCACTGTACAAAAGAGCCATTAAGTGTTATCAGACTTTGTTCTTTAGGATATGAGGTGCTTGATAAATTGTGTGGTGATAATAGCTGTTTTGAACGCTTGATTCTTTACCAATAGATCACATGAAACCTGAGTGTTGTCAAATACTGTAGTGTTTGCTGATATAATCTCCAGTTAGAAAATAAAGTTCAACTGATTTTAAAGGCCTCAGATTGAGAATTGCTAGATTCATCTATTGATCCCAGTTCAACTAACAATTAATTATGAAGGCTATGAAATAAATAACTTGCAATCACACTGTCCATAGTTTGAATGGGACTTAACAAATTTCTCACTTAGCGACATAAATTTTGGGCTCAATTGTGGTCGTATGTCGAGGACTACCTCTACTATTTGTCACTTTGCTTTTGTGTTCAAACATCCCAGCAAACTGGGATTTGTTAATTAACTTAAGCTTTGGCTAACGATCAGAGGAGCATTTTTAACTGATATGATCAAAGGGTAAAATGGATATTTGAATGGAACTAATAAGGACATACCAAAGGGGAAATCATTTCACCACTAATCTCTCCCTTTGAATATGTGTAGTAATAAAAATTACAGGTTAAGGGAGGCATTTGAAAATTATTCATTAAGGGTGGCTCACAATAACCAAATGCAGTGAAGTGAAACCCTACAGGACCACGTGTACTTATATCTTCAGGACTACCTTCTCCAAGAGGATATGCCTCTCTACTTGGTCTAATTGCCCCTGCTCTATCTTGTCTTTTTTAAAAAAGAAATGGTAAAAACCCTCTTTTGTAAGACCTTGAGAAAGAAAATATTTTAATCGAGGACATCAACAGATATTGTCTTATTGTTGGTTGATTTTTTTAAAGGATGTATTTATGTATGTTTCAGGTTTTAATGGATATACTGATGTATGTACGTGTTGCAAGTACGTGTTGCAAGCAGCTACACAAGGGAATTATCAGATTATTTGTATTGTTGTTGTTATTATTATTATCATCATCATCATCATCATCGTTGTTGTTGTTGTTATTACTCCCCCCTTAAAAAGATTTCTTAATCACTAAAACCTGACCTGCAATAACCCAAGGAAACAGTGTTGTAAGACAAATAAGATATTGTAAGACTAATTTAATGACCGTACCTGAAAGTAATGCTGGAGACTATTTGATCAAGTGAGAGACCGACTAACAAATGAAATTCCAAAACATTCAATTCCATGGATATACAAAAACTTAACACTCAATATGCTGCACCCAGACCTGCAAATGTTTTACATACTCAAATAGGTGTTAAAAACCAGACCTCCTCCAAAACTGCATGACCACCAAATCAACACCGATATACTTTTCCCTGATGCATACTTCTCTCTTATACAAACACACATATTCTTCCCTATAAAAAGCATCCAAAACTCTGCAGCCTGCCATTTTCAAAAGCCGATTTCTGTGCTGTGGTCTTGAAGATAAAGAAAATGTTCTATTCTCCTCTACAAATCTATCTTCTTAGCTTGGGGATCAAATCCCCTTTGATCTTTCAACATCCCCATTGCCATCTTTATCTTGAAACTATTCAGGTTGTCTGACAAATGGATGGTATTTGATTTATTGAATGCAAGATTTGTCAAGGTAACCTTAAGCTGCATCTTAAAGAAGAAAACAGAACTTTAAAATAATAAACAGCTAAAGTTTAAATCAACTTTAATTACTAATTCAGGGATGGGATCCGACCAGTATAACTACCGGTTCTGTCACTCTGCATCACGCGAGTGCAATTTACGACCTGCTAAGCTGCCCGGACAGCTGAGCAGTGCTGCGTGCAAGTGCACAGCAGTTGGAAAAGCCCTTTTTTTTCCTGCTTTTTCAACCGCAGCTGTGTCACGCTGCAGTTGAAAAAGCAGGAAATAAAGGTCAGGTAAGAGCCCAGGCGGGCAGGTGGGCCAAAACAGCGGCAGACATAGAACCGGTTCTATGTATGCTCTCTGTCTGATGCTCTTCAGAACTACCAGTTCTACAGAGGTGGACAGAACCAGTAGAATCCCACCTCTGCGCTAATACCACAGTAACCCAGCAGGAAAAAAAATGATATTATTATGTGAGTTTCTGGTATGATTATGATGAAATAGGAGAAGGTCCTATACGTGAACTTGAAATTCTAGACCTAGAAAACCTTGAATTACGCCGTCTTCGATCTGATCTAACTATATAAAATCATACATTGCAATGTCCTACCTGTCAATAAATACTTCAGCTTCAACCATAACAATACAAGAGCACACAATAGATACAAACTCAAGGTTAACCGCACCAAACTTGATTGCAGGAAATACGACTTCAGCAACAGAGTGGTCAATGTCTGGAATATTCTACCTGACTCTGTGGTTTTTTCCTCAAACCCCAAAAACTTTACCCTTAGACAGTCTACTATTGACCTCACCCCTTTCCTAAGAGTTCTGTAGGGGGCGTGCATAAGTGCACCAACGTGCCTACCGTCTCTGTCCTATTGTTTCTTTTATTTTTCTTATATGTACCCATTTCATGTATTCATAACTATGTATATACTTATACCTATTATCTTGTAAGTGATTGACAAATCAAATAAATAAATAAATAAATAAATGTGCAAGTAAAAGGATGTCTTTTTCTCTTGCAGCTTTAGCTACTGTAGAATTGCTTTTATGCTGAAAGCATGGAATAAAATGTTTATTAGAAACTCGTTTGGAATTCATATCTCTAGGCTTGTCTTGATAAGATAGGGAGATGGGAACTGTTTTTCTGTTCTCTATAATAGTCTAAAGTTTAAAACCTAGACTTCAACTTCTATCAGCTCCTGCCTAGATGAAGAATGGCAAAAGATTGTGAGCGACATAATTATTGTCTAATTGGTGGCATTCATGGTTCTCAACAGTCCAAAGAGTTATTTGCAATGGATTAATCATTGATATTTTAACTATTGGATTTTGATACATTTTCCTCATTTCTGAAAGCTCAACCTAGCTGAAGTATTTTGCTTGAACATGGTGTTTTAAAAAAGGAAAGGGCATTTAACCAATTTATAATATTTAGAAATATCATCTTTAGCTATGTTTTTTTATTCTGCTTTCCACAGGCATGAAATAATGTTAAAGCAACACACAGACTTCCCTCTCTTTGAAATCCCATGTAGGATTTCACTTAATTGCATTTGGTTATTGTGAGCCACCCTAAATGAAATTTTCAACTGCCTCCCTCAACCTGTAATTTTTATTACTACACATATTCAAAGGGAGAGATTAGTGGTGAAATGATTGCTCCTTTGAGATGTCCTAATTACTTTCATTCAAATATCCATTTTACCCCTTGATCATATCAGTTAAAAATGCTCCTCTGATCGTTAGCCAAAGCTTAAGTTAATTAACAAATCCCAGTTTGCTGGGATGCTTGAAAACGTAAGCAAAGTGACAAATAGTACAGGTAGTCTTCAACTTATGACCACAATTGAGCCCAAAATGTATGTCGCGAAACGAAAAATTTGTTACATGAGTTTTGCCCCATGTTATGACTTTTCTTGCCACATTAGTTAAGTGAATCCCAGCAGTTGTTAAATTTTTGAGTGCATCTGGCTTTCCCATTGACTTTGTTTAACTGAATCTGAATTGGCATCCTTCAGTCTCAAGAGACTGGTATCGTGCTATGAAACCAGTAACTGCCACTTCCCGTGTTGTTTCAATGCGGTGTGCAAAGCTGGAGTGTCATCTCCAGAGCAGCAGTTGCCAACCGGTGGGCCGCAGGCCACTGGTGGACCGTGAGAAAATTTGGTGGGCTGCA